GATGTGGGCTTCGGCCACTTACACTGAGCCTCGGTTTTTTCATGAGCCTCGGCTTCATCATAAGCCACGATTTCTTCTTGAGCCTCGGCTTCTTCATGAGCCTCGGTTTCTTCTTGAGCCTCGGCTTCTTCATGAGTCTCGGTTTCATCATAAGCCTCGATTTCTTCTTGAGCATTGGTTATATGTTGGGCCTCGATTAATGAGCCTCGGATATGTTTTGGGCCTCGGCCAAGCTAGTAGCAAGTTGTAACAACAGTCCCCCAAGTCTATGTATGATTATTTATGTTATGCGTTGACTTTTAGCAGTCAACGAAGTACCCTCCTTGGGTATCACAAAAAGTTTTAAAATTTCTGATCCACATAATAGTTTCCCAAGTCCGTGTATAATTTTATATATTGTGCATGGAATTGGAAGTTGATCTAAAACTGACTCACCTCGTATCTACCGAGAGCGGAGGCAGTGAATTACTGAAGTGACGAGGCTCTTTTACTTTTGATGAAAGTTGAATTTCTAATGAAGGAAGCTGAAGTCCTGTGCTGAAACTCTTTGACTTGATTTATTTTTTAAAATTTTTTATGAACATCCTTGCATGGAGTTTGGTACATCCATGCAGGGGCTTCTCCCATGACGTTTAGTTTCGTCAAAGGGAGGCATGTGATGTATGTCTAGCAGTGCAAACGAGGTGGTCCCCCTTACATGGTGAATGATTCATCCATGTAAAGGCTTCTCTCTTGATGTTGAGCTTCGTCAAATGGAGGCATGTGATGTACGCATCGGAGTACAAACGAGGTGGTCCCTTTTGGGGGCCTGTTCCTCTCCTCTGAAGTGTCCACGCTTCCTTACATGGTGGATAGTTTATCCATGTAAAGGCTTCTCCCTTGAAGTTCAGCTTCATCAAAGGGAGGCATGTCATGTACACCTCGGAATACAAATGAGGTGGTCCCTTTGGGGGCTTGATTCTCTCCTCCTAAGTGTCCACGCTTCCTTACATGATGGATAGTTCATCCATGTAAAGGCTTCTCCCTTGACATTCAGTTTCATCAAAGGGGGGCATGTGATGTACGCCTCGGAGT